AGTTCTACAAAAAAAAAAAAACGAAATTAGAAACGGCAGTGGCGTAATATTGTAATTTTGATTTTTATAAAACGGCTCATCGACAATGGCATAGAGAGTGGTATACCTGAAGTTGGCCCTCTAAAATGGATTTTCGCTCATTATTATAAGGCCACGAACATCATAAAAATATCAAAATACACCCTAAAAATGAACATTTAAATATTATGTTAATGACCTCGTTAACAATAATTCGTTAAAAAGTTTCGTAGGTACCCACCTATTATTCATTAAAAGTATAATATTATTATGAATATACTATGTAGATTAATATATCTAATAATAAATAATAATTTAATAACTTTTAATTTTAACTATGATAATAATATTACGCCATTTCAGCTTTTAGTTTTCACCGATTTTTTTGTGTTTTTTTTTTTACCAAAAAATTACTTATAATTGAAAAAAATGTCATTATAGTGCGGTCCACGAAAAGTAGGAAAGTATCGACACGACACGAGCGGCTGTTTTTAGTAAAATCAGGGGTTCTCCGTTTGGTATTATTATTATTATTATTTTATTGCAGTACAGATGGTTTTCAGGCGGTATTTCATCGCATTTTAGTATACATTTTCGTGATTTTGTTTTTGTTGACTCGTTGGTATGTTATCACCATAGATAACAAATGATATCACAAATAATAACAATAATTTTGTGTGGTTATTTTATTATCGTCGTAAAATTCGTACCGTGGTTTGCGTTATATTTCCTGTGTTCACAATAACTTTGGTTTTTGTAATTAACGCAAAATTAACGTAATTAGTCTAATGTTTACTTTATTATTATATTTTTTTTTTTTTTACATTATATACATTACCTACATTACACGATTTGAAATTATAATATTAGGCGGGAAAACGTTTGGAGACCCATACCGTAAATGGCCGCTAATGGCGTGTCGATCGCGGCCTACTTTTCGTGGACCGCACTATAGAGGGAACATAATATGCATTTATCGGTAACGAATAAAAAGACCAAAACTTTACAAATATACAAAACAAAATCGAACAAAATAGCTTCCACGTCAAACGGATATAATATAATTCGGTCTGGAATGCGCACGACCAAAGAACGAGAACAAAGATGTAAGGGTCATCCGGACCCTAATCAAAATATATTTCAGTTACATAATATTTTGTGAAATTCTAAAAACTGACTAACTAGCAATCGCGTCGCGTTCGACTCGTGCATAAAAAATTGACGCAATTTTTCGAATCGATCGGATAACGTCGGGGGGGAGGGGCGGGCGCAATTTCACGCACGGACATGTGACGTGACGTTGTGTCAAATTACGTGTTGTTACTGCCACGTGGGGCTTACGTGATGATGTATAGGTATAGTTCGTCGTACTTGCCTACTTCACGCCTTGTCATCTACTTAGACGACCTACGTATACCTACGTCGGATCGAGATAATGAAATTGCGCATTTCGAAAGGACGTGTGGAATTTATTTTCGCCGTACAATAATATATAATATACATTTATACTTAAACGACGTTATTCCCAGCCCCGCCGGGTCGGGTTGTACGCGGTAACCAAATTTCAACTGGGGGGTGGGGAGGGGGGGGCACATTATCTGAAAACGAAATTTCTTCATCTTTCTGCTGCTGCTATACACACATAATAGAGCGTTTCGCGAGTGCACAATATTATACATATACGTACATTGTATTATTAGATGATAAACGAAATATATTATACCCCGAGAAACGCGAAAAGGTCACGTTTTTCGGTGTGCATGACCAAAAAACTAATCTGATAAATGTATTTGTAATTTCTACCACCATATACATATACATTATTAAGTTATGTACATAATGTTTTACTACACTCTCTCCGTTTCGACGGGGACGCCATAGCTGCGAACATAATAATACAACGATCGGAGTTTTCAGCAGGTTTTTCGAGAGTGGCAAACGTTGGCGTCCCATACATTCTAATTAACTGTGTACAGAAAATCGTATAGGAAAATAGAAAATAGAGACGTACATAACGTTACGTAACACTATATTTGAGTATAATATGATGTATTACCTACATCATACATTCATACGACATACTATATTTGTGAGTTATTTATTTATTTATTTATTATCAACAATACGGACTGAGCCCAATTATACAAAATACGATAGTAATAATTACAATTTAAACTATGAATAAGTATGACAATAACTGATTAAACTTATATAAAAAAAACGTGAATAACAACAATTATATTGCCATATTATTTGCCATACGCATCATTCTAAGGATTGGTTGATTCTGGGAATAATCGGTGTTGCATTTTAGAATAATAAATGGATAAATTTGACGGACAGAAGAGTAAGGGACCTAAAAGTTAATCATAGAAAGTAAAACGGGTGAATCAATACAGCCATCTAGGCTGAGAAATATTAGGTGGAGAAATTTCAGGTTAGCAGCTTTTCTTCTATCAACTAAGAAAGTTGGTTTAGCTTATTCAAAATTGGATGATAATCATCAGGTGGATGATCGTTACTTAAAACAAATGCTGCATATTTTAGGAATTTTCGTCTTGCTCTTGTACAACGAGTTATGAAGTATTGTTGGACGAGTTGTTGGACAATTCTTGGAAAAATTCGTGTATTTTAATTTTTCTAAGCTTGCAGATTCCAACTGCCTCGAAAGAAATTATTTAGTTTTTCGACATAACCTAACCAGCTGCTGTGTCTACTGTTTTAAAAGTTTCGAAATTAAATTTGTCTAAAACAGATATCTGTTTTAAGTTTCGTATAACGTCATTAGACAATTTAAAAGTTGATCGTATAATTTTAAGTTCCAACCAGCGGAGATCGAAAAAAACAAAGTATGAAGAATAAGTAATCTGTTTTCATAACCTATTAAGAAAGAATTGAATTATGTAGCAATTCAAGTTCTAAGTGATTTTTAAATTGTTTTATTTCTGTACATATTGTGGAGAGCATAAAACTTAATAATGTATTTTAAATGTATTTGATGTTTTAATTAAACCGTAAGAAAATAATATAGCCAATTATTAGTTTAATATAAACAAAAACTTAAATCCATACCAATTACGACGAATAACCAGTTCAAAAATAAATACCAACTCGTATTTTAAGGCCATTTAAACTTTGTTGAGTTTTCAATGTTTTTATACGCCAAATTCAATCAATTCAGATTTATTCAAATCAATTCGAATTATTGTTAATGTTAAAAAAAGATAACGCTGTCAATCTTTATGGTTTTTGTTTTTTTTTTTTTACTGCAAAAACTATCTCAATCTCGTTGTCATAACTTTAATTAAAAGACAGCGATTGTTATGGCGGCGCACGACCTAATTTGCACGAGGATGCACGAACAGAGCAATTTCGAATTTCTTCGACCAGTGAACATAAAATATAATGTAATTCAGTTAATAAATTCGTTTTTACTGTACAGTCTAAACTTTGTATAAACGTATAAGTCGAGATTTAGGAGACCCATTATTCCTTTTCGCGAAACATATTTTTACTGTGTAGATTTTCGAATTAATTTCAAAAAATAAATAAACACACATCATTGTAAAATCAATACATTCATCGTTCCACTCAGAATCTAAAAGTAATAGTCCTGTAAAAAAAAAAAATATGTTTATTTCACGAAAAATTATAAATTAATATTTAATAACACCACTATATGCAAACACGCGACGATCGACTTTTTGAATATTATCGACAACACCAGAGCGTGGCAAAAAACCATACTAATTACGTCATGTATTTTTATACTCGAAGCGAGGGGAGTGATGCCACAATGCGCCACTTTGTGCATAATGCGTACGATAATTAATAGTGTGTTATTACAATAATAATATAATAAATCATGTAACATTTGTCCGATTTTTCGTTGTCCTGTCCACCGTGGTAAAATCACGACATATTATGCGGGAGACAAACGGTCATAAACGAGGTCTAACAGAAAGACTCGAAAAAAAAAAAAATTGACAAAAATTGCAAAAATGATATGATTAGTAAATAATTTAAGAAATATACTCATGTAAGCGAATTCCCAAAAAAAAATATTTTGAAAAAAGTAAGAAGTTATTAAGTTCCAAATTGATTTAATCAAAAAAATATTTTTAAAAAATTCTAAAAAATAAACTACTTGACTTAGATAAATGTCTTTACTATCAAAATTGTTCTTATAATCGAATTCGCAAATTGGGTATTATGAATAAATCCAAAAAAGCTTTAATGAAATTTTTATTTTTATTTTCAGTGTTAAAAAAATAAATACATTTGTTTGTAAAGGTATAATGTATGTGTAGCGCAAGTGACTATAAATTAAATATAAATAAAAAAAAAATTTAAATATCGATCAGGACAAAAGTTATTCCAAAAGTCAGTTCTATCCGTTACACCCACAGAGATCTATCTACACTAGATAAGGAACTCTTATACAATTTACATTGTTACAAGTGAAGCTCAGCTGTGAACGGCCCCGCCATTTTGTCGGTTGGCAAAACATTTCATTTATTATACAAAATGTATTAGGAATAATATTTTTTTTAACGGTCAAATAAAATAGTAAATGTAAAATGACTTATTTAAAATATTTTTTTTTTTTTTTGTAACCTAAATGTTTAGAAATAATAAAATACGATATAAAATAAATCATAATATCATCTTATTTGTCATATGAAATACCATACAATTGCCAACCGACCTTGAAGCTTCAATTCATGACCGGACTTCGCTATCTAGTAATATATAGAAATCTGTGGTTACACCCTGTATGAATATAAATATATAATATTCCGTTATAGGTTAGGTTAGGGTATTATTATTATTATACCGTCTCGTCTCGTCAAATGTATTTTTATTTCGCACGTCTTGACATGTATACTTTTGTTCGTAGACGTCGTCGTACAATAGCATATATTGTGTGTGTGTATTATATATATTTTATTACAACGGCTTTTCGATTTCGCATGTTTCAGACCCGTGTCTCGTGCACTACTGCGGAAGGGGCGAGGAGTGTGCCGCCCTGGGCGGAGTTGCCCGGTGCATATGCGTGCGGAAATGCGGTTCGGCCAAGCGCAGGGTGTGCGGTACAGATGGACGGCTGTACGACAACAGATGTGAGCTGCACAAGTCCGGCTGTTTGTCCGGAGTCGACATAGAGATAGACCACTCGTTGAAGTGTTTCATACCTTCAGGTGAGTCAGCGGGAGGCCGTTTACTATTTACCCTTGCCCCGAGCAGCATAATATATAATGGCTTTACAAGTGCCGTAGACTCCATTTTGTATATAGGTGATCTACAGGGTGATTCTTTTATCATTAAACACTCATTGTTTCAAGAAATGTAAATGTTTTTGCAAATATGATTTTACATAGTTTCGAATACTTTATTTTATCCTTATAATTTTTAAGTTTTTTACTTTTTTGAATGATGACATAGAGTTTTAATTTCATATTCCAAAGCAGAATATTTTTAAAAGTATTACGAAACAAAAAAAATCGAATTTTAGGTAGGTAGTTTATGAGTTATAAGCGTTTAAAGTTTAGATTAGGGGAGTGGGGTGGTACGGGGTTACCCTTTTGCGGGGTAGTTGTTTGTCCACTCATCTCTTCTTTAAAATATACTTATAACTCATAAACTACTCGCCTTAAATTTGATTTTTGTGTTTCGAAGTACTTAGACGAATATTCTGCTTCGAAATTAAAACTCTATGTTATCATTCAAAAACTTAAGAAATGATAAGGATAAAAAATATTTGAAAATACTATTTTTTTAGAAAAAAACGTTATTTTGTAAACGACTCGAAACTATCGAAAATAATATTTTCAAAAACATTTACATTTCTCTAAATAATGAGTGTTAAATGATAAAAGAATCATCCTGTATATATAGTATATTGGATCCTCGGTGTACTCAGTGTCAGGGGAGAAAAAACTCTACATCCCATTATACGACCGACCGATGATCAATACTTCTAAGGCGCTAGCAAAAACCTTCAAATATTAGAAATTGATATATAGATGCCAATAAATAAGCACATTTAAGTTGGATTTGTAATATTCGTCAGTACCTATATACTTTGTGATGATCTGCGCAGTGGCGTTATTATTGAGGTGTTACAAGCGTAGTATTTTCACATCAAAACATTTTTAGGTGTATTGTTTTAAGGGGATTGGAAGCGGCGATTTTCTGTCTTTATCTAACACACGTGGAACATAGGATTATAGACGTGTTCTATGTCCAACGTACCGATTAATCTAATGAAGCGATAAGAATTCTGAAAACAGATTTGAATTTGTCGTCAAGTCTACTTGAGATCGACTTTCCCACATTTTTGATATTGTCCCACCAAAATCATAAAAATGATATATTATAAAAAGTACTTAAAAAATTTACAAATTTCAACTTTTGGAGAAGTTTAAATCAAAAAATCAAAAATGTGGGAAAGTCGATCTCAAGTAGACTTGACGACAAATTCAAATCTGTTTTCATAATTCTTATCGCTTCATTAGATTAATCGGTACGTTGGACATAGAACACGTCTATAATCCTATGTTCCACGTGTGTTAGATAAAGACAGAAAATCGCCGCTTCCAATCCCCTTAAGACACTAAAAATATTCTGCAAATTTTTTAATTTGAGTCTTGCTGTTTATCGTTTTATTGTGAAATCTATTAATCTAACTGTACTATAATAGTTTAATCTTATTAATATTATTGATACTACAATCAGTTCGGAAATTCAGAATTACGTTTAGCTTTAACTTCAACAATATTTTAATTTAAAAATTAACTTTTTAGACAAATTTTCATATCAGAACATTGAGACCTTTAAAGAACAGAAGTGTGGAGGGGAGGGATTAAATATCCATATTAATACAAACAAGTTATAACAACACCGATAATTTAAATCAAATTACACTACTGCAGAATGTGCGTATCACTGCGTGTTTGATGTTAAAATAAATACAATTTACCTAGGTAATAAATAATAACAGTGCAATTAATATTTATCAATCATACTCCAAGTTTAAGGGTTCGATCATTGTCCATGATTAACTGTGTTTCAGTTTTATTTTTACGAATTATAAAATAGACGTGGTTAAATTATTTATATTTATTTAGTCTTCAAGAAGATAATGGGAAGATATTGTTATATTTTTTATTGATAAATTTATGTATAATTATTCAAATTTATCAATTATAGACTATAGTTATGACCGTTATACACTCTTATTATCGGATAATTATTGAATATTTTTTTAATGGCTACACAACTATAAAATATGTCTGTGTGTTAAAAATAAAAAAGGGGTTTGTATAGCTATTGGTGCATTTTAACAAAAAATCAATTATTTTTTTTCCCGAAATGATAAAAATGTACTTGGAAAATTGAGGAAATTAGTGTAGCCAGTAAAAAAAACGTTTATCATAAATCACTCGATATATTTATCAGAAAGATTATTTTATACGTACGACGTATGCATGTGATGTAATTGCGTTATGTCGTTCGCGATAAATCAATTATGGACCCAGTGGAAATGATGAGCAAATAAATCGTTTTAAATCCGATCACATCCTCAGCAACTCGTAAGACTATACACGTTTTCGAATCAGCTATAATTCAACGTATATCGATTAGCGTAACTTATGTAATAATAATATATAGATACGAGAAAAATCGTCCCCTACGTTTTATATTCAATACCATATCTATATATACGAAGTTTGTTTTACAATGTCTTTGGTCAATTGTGTATAAGAAAATGTATGTTGTATATAAATATTATATAACAATATATTATACAATATCATATAATATTTACCGAGATTGAAAATAATGATGTTTCGTGATGTCTGTACAGCGTCCAAGGCGAAGAATGTTCGAATCCTACCGAAAACCGCAGACAACGCCATTGAACCGGAAACCAAATCGAAAGAAGCGAAAACGTGCGGTTCACCGCAATACGAAATTATGAAGGTACACTGTTGTTGTAATTATTTATTGTAATAATTTCATTTGAAATTTGTGTTTGGACGAATTACGGGTTGTGCGGCGTTTGGGGGTTTCTGGTTAAACGGTTCCCGAACTGAAATGCGGAATATATAAGTCTTAATAATTATTAATACACTTTTTACGTCATCGGCTCGAATTTTAAAATCGTTTTCAATCTATGCTTGATTTTTTTGGCAACAACTAATGAGGTTTTAAAAAATACATAATAATATGTATGTTTAATGTTAAATTCCCTGTATGACGCCCGCGTATGATTCCAAACGGAAATATGAATTAAACTATCGAAAAACTTACCTCTGATATTTAGAATAAACATTTGACTATTCCGTAAAACTATAATAACGGTCGTTGTTCCAGATAATAATTAATACTAGATACTCATTGTTTTTTTTTAATAACATCCGTTGGCCGGCGCGTCGTATAGGCAATTTCGGTACTTCGGTGTGCAGCTGGTACGAATTCGATATGGGACGAAAATTACGTGCCAGCTATTATATGTGACATCCACAACTACAATAAAATATTTAATAGCAGACGACACAGTGAATTCGCAGATCTCAAATAGCCCTCGGCGACTGGCAGCACAGTAGTAGTAGTCATGTGTCGTCGAAGTTAATTAGCGAGTCCATTATTGAATTACACAATAATATAATAATATATTCAGCACGTAGGTAGCACTATATTATAATTATGACAATAATAATAATATACACGAGAGACGGAGTGGCCGAGCGGACTAAAGCGTCGGTTGCGACGGGCACCGTCACCGGTTCAAAACCCGGTCACGGGTGGCACTTCCCTTCGGGCATTCAAGGTGTCTGGAGAGAGAGGCCGCCATCCCCCAGCCGGGCATGGCAGATACCAAAGGGTGCCCACTAGAGAATCCTGCCAAACTAACAAGCACACGAGTTTAAACCAACAGTACCCCCTCCCCCACAGTTAAAAACCACCCAATGGCCCAAGTTACCGAGGGTTAATTAATAAAACAAAAAAATAACAACATACACATTATCGTCACGTCACATTAATAATATAATACGATTCGTCTTAGTAGAGAGCAGGAGAACATAATAATCAGTGGTCGGGACGCAACTGTTTTTTGTAGCACGCTAACGCTACTGCTACTCCCCAAAAAAAGTAGCTCGCTATCGCTAAAGCTACTTTTTTTAAATGTAGTGCGCTATTTCTAACGCTATTGTTTAAATGTAGCGTGCTACTTTTTCGCTACATTTTTTTAAAAATTTTTTTTGTTTATTTAGATATTCATTTGAGTACTTGGTCATTATTTGTTAATGCCTACCACTATTTTCTTGTAATTTCGGAAGGCAGGTTTATTAAGTGTAACTCGTGTATTTTTGTAACAAATAAACGTTTTATTGAAAATTGCTAACTAGTTGAATATGACGTGGTGGCTTCAGGTTCTGTCATTTTTAATTCAACTATTCAAAATATTTAAAACTTAAAAGAAACACAGAAAAGTAGAAAACGCTGAATGCCGTAAACAAAAATAGTGATAATAAAATACTAATATATTAAATATTATTTATGGTTCTGTTTTCAATAATATAAAATATTACATTGTAATAATGCACTTTTGATTATAGTATAATCTATCCGGGCTAAACTCGAAAAAATCAAAAATACACTCATCTTGTCATCTTATTAAATAAATAAATATACATCATGATATTTTAATTATCATGAAATAGGTTAGAAGTATTGATAAAATAATGAACATTTTCGCTACGCTAACCGTAAATTTCTAGCGCGCTATAGTATTTCTCTACATTGTATATACTGTAGCGACGCTATGTTAATCGCTACAGCTAAAGTAGCGTGCTACTGTAGCGTCGCTACAATTAGCGCGCTACTCCCGACCACTGATAATAATATATAATATTAATCAAATACTTGTGCTGGGTTTACTGTGCAGCTATTCAGTGCCTACGGTTTTTTTTCGTTTTTACGAATTGGCGAGGGGATGGGGTTGTAAACGTGTCGCCCGCCGACCGCGAAACACCCTCTACGGGCCCGACTTATTCCGAGAGAAGTATGATTAAATTATTATTTTACACGGGGACTGTGATTTGTATGCGAAATCGGAGGGAACAAGGTTCGGTCGTCGCGTTCGTGTCGCGGGCAAAATATCGTGTCGGCCGACGGTGGTGGGTAGAGTCGGTCTGTGCATCTATTTTGGCAAACGTCCCGGCTCGCAATATATTATTATATTATCGTCACGGTGTACAATATACGTATGGTATATGTGGTATGTATATATATATAGTTGGGATATGATAATAAGCGCACTAAACGGATAATTTGTCGTCGAAATTGATAACGGTCGTCTCTGTATTGTAATTATATACATGGCAAACGCTTTCCGGTCGTGTACATAATATTGTAAGTGCGGTTTTTGGCTTTACGACGTATAATATGTTCGAACCGTTTTCGATTGTTCCGTTCCGATGCCGCCCTCCCTATATGCATAATATGCGAAGAACGATTCCTTTTTCGCTCCGAAGTCGATATTATAATAATATTGCGTTGTTTTCACTATTATCGTGTGTGTATTGAAAACAATATGATTGCGAGTCTTATACGTTCGTTTTGATTGCCACACGTGCAGTCTGTGTTTGTCGAAGGGACTCTGCTGCAGTGGCAGTAGGTATACAGAGTGGTTAACCGAACACGTCCATTCCGTTTTCTTTCGTTTTCCTTGATAATGCTACAGCCGTTCGATTTCAATGGAATCGGTTCTCGCGTAGGTACTGAAAGACCATATTTTCGATTTGTTAGTGTCCTGTGAACACTGTTTTTCATACTGCGATAACCCCTCCCCCCTCTTTTCACTTTAAACAGCTGTTCAGCGGATGATATTGTCGAGAATCTTGATATGTCCAAATCAAAATTCGTAACTACAGTTTCCGTGTTGGTAAACGTTACGACGGACGAAGGATAATATTTGTAGGTCCGCGATAATAGGGTTGAAAAATATTGGGCTATGATAATTTTAAAATTATAGTTATTGATATAATCCATAGAAAAATTTTATAATTTATAAAAATTGTCTGAGAATAATAAGTACTAGATTCAATATTATTTTATCATTGTTATTATTATTACTCTGGAATAATTATTTTTTGTTTACGTGTACTATATGTAAATATTACTTGAAATAATTATTGCTATCGCTGCTATCATCTCATATATATTATATAATAATACCTCATAATAGACTAAATATAATATATTCTGTGATAACACTGCACATATTTTACTATTTAGTGTCAGTTGTCAACGATAATTTTTATTTTTTAAGTTAAAAGTACCTAATTAATAATTTCGAAGACTCTTTTCGCCACAAGCTTACTTAAGGCTAAGGGCGGTGATACCCGATTGATCACGGTCGTTATCGGCCGACCTTTTAGACGACCCGATTGAGCACGATAAAAAAAAAAAAAATATTGTGTACAAAGTTGTCAGATTTTCACTAGTACCTACGTTGTGTAGATATTATCAATAAGTAATTACGAACCTATTAGTCGAAAACGATTTTGCTATCGATCGATGGGTAGGTATACCCACGGAAGTTGAAAATAACTGGGATAGATAGGAAACCAGAATTTTATCTACAAAGATTGCACTAAATTGTGATTAACTGTTATTGTATGTACCTATGCTGTAAATAAGACTTGGTCACAGTCAGTCTATGGTTCTGTTGCCTCGTGCTCGTTAAGCGGTAGTGTGCAAATTTTACGATGGAAAATAATGAAATAAAAATTATTTTATCCGAGAGAGGTAAAAAGTTGGCAAATGTTGGAGCTTATCGGGAGTACTCTGAATTAAAAAATGTTGATAACCTACTTAAATACTTATTTAAAATTGTAAATAAGTATTTAGGAAAAAAAATTTAAACTTTTATTTAGATATTCATTATTGAATTTCATTTCATTTTAGATATTCATTATTGATTTATTCATTTTGATTGGTATTTTTTCAACATTTTTTTATATTATATATTTTTATATTCAGTATTTAGCGGAATAAATTGTAATTGTAATATAATATAATAAACTAATTGACGTACATAATATGTAATAATATGTGATTAAAATCCAATAAAAGATTTTTATTTATAAACATTTACATTCAAATGTATCTTATTTTAAAAAAATAATATTCTACGATACACAATGGCAACGTCGCACCTATTTTCGTGCTCAATCGTGTTGTTTTTGGGGTTTTTTTGGGTTTCTATTGTTTGATTCCAACCATGCTCAATCGGGTTGTGAAAAAGGTCAATCGTGCTCAGTCGGGTTCCAGCCGGCTAAGGGTAATCAGCTCGTGATTTTTTTTCTTTAATTTTGTTCTATAATATTATGTTTGATTTAAGTGGATTTGAATAAATTATTTAAATAGTATACAATTTATTGAAATAAATAAAATCTATTTTATATTTTTGTAAAGAAATTTTTAAAGATTATTCATTATTATCCTCAATAGTTACATATAGGTACCTACAAACATATTAATAACTCAGAAATTATTAGTTCAAATTTTAATATTGTGATACATCAACGTTTTCAAAAAAATTATCTAATGAATAGTTCAAAGCAAAAAAGGATTTTCATTTGAAAAATAGAAGTTTATATCCCCACAGGATACTTGGTGCGATAAAAATGGACTTTAAATGGAAAGAAAAATCTCAAGTGTTCAAAAATATGATCTCCAATCTCCGTTTATTTAAAAATTTAAAAAATCATATTTGAATAGCTGTAATATTAAACAAAACTTCTCGGTGAAGCACTATATATTAGATTTAGTCAGTTTTTTTTCGATATATTTATTTTAAGTAGCGTCAGAAGGAACCGATAGAAAACATTCAATTTAAATATTATACTCAAATTATAAAAATAACGGATACAATTTTCTCAACCTTTTAATTCAATACCAGATCCACTATTACGCGGAGACTATAATATGGTGAAACTATGAATGGGGACACGAGGTCTGTTGAACTTAAACAAATGTGGCTACAGTATGTGTGGCGCTTATAATGAGACAATGCATCGAGATAATAATATTATATTATGCGGGTGTAACGCCATCTCGTAAGTGTTTATAATAGAAGTTGCTCTTTATTATTATTTTGGTTAATTTTTTTTTTTTTTGTGCTTTTCGAATCGATAAAAACTTGTGAAATATTCGATTTAAATAATATAATATATTATAAAAATAACCAATACAATTTTCTCAACCTTTTAATTCAATAACCGATCCACTATTACGCGGAGACTATAATATGGCGAAACTATGAATGGAGACACGAGGTCTGTTGGACTTAAACAAATTTAGCTAAAGTATGTGTTGCACTTGTAATGAGACAATACATCGAGATAATAATATTATATTATGCGGGTGTAACGCCATCTCGTAAGTGTATAAATAGAAGTTGCTCTTTATTATTATTTCGGTTAAATTTTTTTTTTTTGTGCTTTTCGAATCGATAAAAACTTGTGAAATATTCGATTTAAATAATATAATATATTATAAAAATAACCGATACAATTTTCTTAAACTTTTAATTTAATAACCGATCCACTATTAGGCGGAGACTATAATATGGCGAAACTATGAATGGGGATACGAGGTCTGTTGGACTTAAACAAATTTATTTACAGTATGTGTTGCACTTGTAATGAGACAATGCATCGAGATAATAATATTATATTATGCAGGCGGTGTAACGCCATCTCGTAAGTGTGTATAATAGAAGTTTCTCTTTGTTATTGTTTCGGTTCATCTTTTTTTTTTAGTGCTTTTCGAATCGATGAAAACCTGTAAAATTCGATTTAATACAATGTGTAAATTGAAATGCTCAGTAGAAATATAAAAAACGCATTAAATATGTGGAGGTATATTAATATGACGTGATAATTATTTTCGTATGAACGGCTCTGTGATGGAATAATGTCGCGTAATTTTTTGATTCTGTTTACAACCTGCATACGTTTTTGTTTATAAATATTCAAACATTAGTCTACAGTAATTATTATTATTACGGCCGGCGGAGGGTTTTTTTTTTACATTTCATGTGAACGTTGACGACACGATACTCATTTAAGTCGCTCGCAAATAATGTCTCTGATTCACTTGCAAAATAATGTACGCCTCTGAAATTTACATAACTCAATCGGCGAACCGCTCGCAAATATATAATATTATGATAATAATATAAAATATCACATCCGATTGATATTCCGGTCGATCGTGAGCACGCTACTATAAAATAGGTCTGAGGTTATTGGGTTTCTTTGCAGTGTTTACTTAACCATTATCATAAATATTTACCAACCCACGACCGCTATATAATAAAACAATAACGGCAATAATAATAAGTAATATTATTATTATTATAAAAGTGAGTGGCTGGTTGGATGGTTCTCGTCCGCTGTCCCCGACCGCCCTACCGTTTATCGAGTATAAATAATATTATACTATGCGGCTGCATTTTACTATATATTATGTTATTATATCATTTCATAATGGAAGTTCAATAAGTCGAGCACGTGCCCGGCGCTTAGTGGTTATATTATTATATTTTGTCGTGTGTTTTACGAATGACAAACGCTCTGGGGGTCGTGTAGGTCGTCATATCCTGCGGACCGTAAATACACGACTTAAATCGAGCAACACCCCCTCCCCCCCGGACGCGATCCGATACTAAATTATACACGATATTATCGCGCAAAAGTCGCGTCGGCCTTAACAATTAGACGTTGCAACCGTGTGCAGTATATATGCGAATTACGTACCCAAAACTACGGTATCGTGGCACACGGCGGCCCGAAGAGAGAGACCACCCCCCCCCCCCATCCGATGATATACCCGCGGTATAATATATGTTTTTTTTTTCTACGCCACTCGCTCGCCCGTCGGCGTGGTGGTTTTTCGACGCAAAACGCATAAAACGGTAATAAATGTTTCTTGTTCAATTAAAAGAGGGTGCAACCACAGGAATTAATGCTCGCGGTCAGGATTTATCGCCCTTCTGGGAACGCGCGTATCCCTGTTCGGCCGCCGCGTATAAATTATGTTTACAAAAAGCTCTTTCCCACAGTCGGCTCAGCCTTTGCGGGGAGGCCAATCCGCGTGAGCAGCTATGTGAGAGCTGCAGGGTCGGATGGGGGGGGGGGGGTGTATAATAAGACGCGTCTTATGATAATAACACGAGAGAATACCGCCGCCGAAACGAGAACAGCCACCGTGATGGCACCGTATAATAAAGGTGTTTTTTGTTGTTATTGTTTTTTGTTTTTTTTATATATATATAATAGGTATAGCACGCACAATGATTACAATTTATTCGTCCACGACCACACAATAGGGAAAATAATATATATAATACCGCCGTGTGCGTTTCGCGTTACCTTTTGCAGGATAATTTGTTGCTGATCAATCACGCGAAACTCATGTATCAGAAGAGTTGGAACGGCGGCAAGGAGTACATGGTCAGCGCGTTGTTCCGCTACTTGGATTTGGACGGCGACGGATTTTTGCAACGAGAAGAATTACAAAAGGTACCTTGATTATAATACTCAATCGGTTGTTTGTGAATCGATTTTTTATCGAAATTCAATAAATTCTGTTCGGAAGACTTGGTGAAACGACGTTAAGATAATATAACCATATATAGGTGACTCGATGTCGTAGGTGTAAACTGTTTTTCATACATTACCTATTTTATTGGATTCGAGGTTATATTTTTCATCTGAGTATTATAAATATTACAATGTGTTCTTTTAAAGTAATACCGTTGTGAATATTATATCGTATTATAGTGTTCTCCGAATAGGTTTATAAACTTACAATGTGAATTATAATATTATAATACCTATATACAGGGTGTAACAGAAAGATATGACAGATACATAGACTGGAAATGTTCCTAAACAGTTCAAAACAAATCAAAATGTTTTGAAAATTTTATCGTGTATAGAAAATGCAAATACAAACTACCAGTGAAAATTTCATGTATATACGTTCATTTGTTTTAGAGCTTAACCAAAAACCAAAATCGGTTTTGTCATATCTTTCTGTTACACCCTGTATATAGGTATTATAACACAAAAAGAACCCTTTACTATCATTTATTAAATTGTAAAGCTAATTCGTTCTTATTTAGAATAAAATATTTGATAATAGACTACAAATACATTAAAGTAACACAATATATAGGTACATATATAGCAAATTACGAACTTATTTCGGTCGAATATAATAACATGTAACATATACCGACTTTATCGTTAACGCTATAAAGGATTTCAAATCTCTCTTTAAGAATGTCTTTTTTTCACAAAAGTGTGCTACCAAATAAATTGCTTGCATTATTTATCAAAGAAATATCAATATAATAGCATTTTTTTTTTTTATTCATAATATATATTATGCGCATACGATGTAATATTACATGTACGAGATTAGATTAAAAAAAAATCGATTATTTAGGTTAAAGCGTGTGTGGGTATACCGAAAAATGTATCGACAAATTTTGCAATATAATTCTCAAGAATGATATCCCTCTTCTTTGAACCCGTAATATATTTCTTCGTTGTCGCATAAATTTATCATATTATGATATATATATTATTACTATTAACGTTGTGGAATACATAATAATATATGTTGAAAGTTGCTTTAACCGTTGCAAAATAAACTTTAAATAATATATAATATTATGCAGTTATTATTTTTGCGAAAAACTGTACATTTATTTCTTTTTGAAAATTTTAACTACATTATAAAGGTATAGTATGTGTTGTTTTGTAATAATTAAGTAAACGAAAGTATTTACATAATGAGCGCTAAAGTTCAAACAATAATTTTAATTTAAAATGTTTAACAGCAATAATCGTAAAATACACCATGCACACTGCAGTTCTGTTTACCTTTTATTGTGAACAAAAAACTTTTTTAATCCGAGCACAACGAAAATATAAATTATTTTTCCGAGTTTATACGAATGCCGCACGTGTGATACAATAATTATTATGTGAATAAAAAAAAAAAAAATTACATTTTCTAGTTTAAAACTACGAATATAATATATTTTCACTAATTGAACGCGTTTTTCGCAGATAACTAAACAGGATAAGCTCGACGATATATCTGACGTCTGTGTCATGTCAGACATGATTCGCTTTGAAGACATGGATAAAGATGGACGTCTGGGTTTGAACGAATTCTACGCAGCTTTCAGTAAACTATACAGTAAGTACATTATATGTATATAGGTTAGGGGATACTATACCTAGCGAAAATGGTTCAAAGTAAAATCTAAAATAAGACGTTCAGGTATATAGGGATTTAATTTGGTCGTGCTGCGTCAAATCCTGTTCACGTCCTACATAATAAATATAATATATACCTATCGCTTTGATCTATATCCTGCGCAGTGTCTTGCAGCACTCTAATGGTGCGCGTTTCGTACGTCACGCACATCGTATATGGGCATATATGTCGTATAATATAGACTCGTTCGATTTCCATTATTTATTATGTGTATTTTTTTTTCAACATTACAATAATATAGGCTTGTCGGTGGTCACTCTGGAGAAAGCGCTCGAGATCAATAGGATATCCGCAAAGGTCGGCGACAACGTGGAAATCCGCTGCGACGTGAGCGGCAATCCGCCTCCTCCGATCGTCTGGAAACGATATTCCGCCGACCTGACGACCCTCGGAGACGAGGACGTGAGGGTTTTCAGCGACGGGTCGCTGTACCTCACCAAGATACAATTGGTCCACGCCGGGAATTACACGTGCAGAGCTCTGAGAAACTCGGAGGTGACCCAGACGCACGTGTTGACCGTCCACAGTACGTCGAATAATAACGCAAAACCTAATAATATCGTCGAATGTTGCCCTTTTTTAATTCGATTTTCGTGGTGTTTAAGCTCTGCCCGAAGTCAAAGTAACGCCCAGAATCCAATCGCGAAGACCGGGCGAAAAGACTTCCATGTTTTGTCACGTAATCGGAGAACCTTTTCCCGAGGTAAACGTATACATATTACCTATATATATATTATATTTATAATTACAGAATGTCCAAGCGGTTAATGGGTATTTCCTTGGAAAATATATTTATTTAGAATGTAATTAGGTGTTTGCAATACCTATCTATACCTAGTATAGGTTAAACTTTTTTGTGCAGTTGAATTTTTAGATTTCCAAAATAATTTGTTTTTTTCAACCGTGGTATGGAAACGCGTTTATTAAAAGGCTTGTTAAAATTGATCAAGTTAAAGAGCAGGATCAGATGGTCGAAATTCAGATGTCTTCAAGTCGTCAATTCGTATCGGAATCTTAAAAAAATAAACTTCAACTGCACTGAAAATTATCATTAAAAAAGAGGTTGATTTTAATTATTTGCTATAGAGACCATTATATTTTCTCATATTGCCGGAAAAACCGCGATTAACTAAGTCGATTTTCTATATTATGAAAATACTTGGGACGAAACTGCAGGTCATTCTGTATTTCCAAAACATAGTGTAATCTCGAGTTTACACGGGTATTGGGTTTAACGGCCGTTTCCCTGTGCTCGTAGGTGGTTTGGCTGAAAAACGAAGAGCGGTTAAAGTTGGACATGGTGCACAAGTACAGAGTGGTCGGCAACGGGACGGAACTGAGTATTGATAATATCGATTACGCGGACACCGGAGCGTACATGTGCCAAGCATCGAACACCGGTGGGGTCACCAGAGACATATCGTCACTGATCGTTCAAGAAATTTTGACGCCTAGTGAGTATGGTGCGGTCGGATCTAAATCGAACGAAATATTGAAATATATTTCGTGCTAATAATAAAAATTGCCATATTACTGTAATCATGAGACGCGTCTCGTTAACGTCACTGCTTTTACAGCCGCGCCGAAAGAAGAACGCCGGTTTTTCGCTTTTCACGACTGGGGAGTGTCCGTTTACGAGCCCACCGCTTGCCGGCTCTACCATCAAATCCAGTCCACGGACATCATCCCAGGAACTCAGGTATACTATTATAACCACGTGTTCGGGGGTATGGTCGAATTGCATTTATTTTAGTCAAACTGCACTTGGGCAAGTAGTGGTCGACCTGCACTTGGGCTCGAAAAATAACTGGAAATCTTTCATTAAGATACAGTCACGATGGATACAAAGCCATTTAACGCCATCATTTACATGTTTTTCCCAGTAAAATGTATATTTTTTATACACAATCAAGTCACGGCCTCGTTCACTTTTAATAATTTTTGAATGGTCCATATTTACACAGCGACTAGTTGTAGTTTACACAGGTCTACGCGGTATAAAATGTAAGTTCAACTTTTACCGATATCTATTTATTATCCGGTTAGGTTAGTTCCTTTCGTCGATTTTTGGCGACAATAATTATCTACGCGTTATCTAAATGATAATTTTAACTCCTTTTTTTGAACAAATGCAGTTCGACCACTACCTGCTTTACCCAAGTGGAATTCGACCATTTCGTTTTAGATAATAAGTGCAATTCGACTGTCCCGACGACGTTCGGTAAGTGTACGGTATATTGTTGATGTCATAATGTCGGATCGTGTTTGCCAAACGACGATATTATTATAGCCATTATATAATATACGTAGAATATCGTCTGTATACATATTATTATCTCGATATAATCGTCGTATTGTCATCGTGTGTGTGATATGATATATTATAGGAATACGTGTGCGGCGACAAAGGTGTCAACTGCAGTTGGGGCCAGGCCATCAACGTGGCCAACCGTTACGTTTATGTGTCACAGCCGCTCAAAGACAGAGTGTTGGTCATCAGCAAGATTCAGATGGTCGTCGTCGACGTGAGTGCACCTATATATGATACAATCTTGTAAAAGAGATACTTTTTATTTGTACTTATACGTCATAATATTGTGTGGAGATACGAGCACGATAAATTGAAAAAAGTATTTACGACATGTTGCACTTCATGCGTTAAACGTACATCGGGAAAAAATTTACTTGACAAGTACAACAGATAGTGTCAGATAGTGTCAGATGTATTCAAGTATAGTGGTGTTTAAATAGCCGATACAAAATCAAATATTATTTTTATCTTTACTCAAAATTAATTGTATTATCAGGTTTTTAATGTGATAAATATGTAGTGATAGGTTATAGGTCAACTTATGATACTAATAATTTGATCATCTCTATTTAACGGCAGTGCCTACACCACGTATATTTTAACCAGGGAGGCTGAACTTTGATGATTTTTACGGTTCCGGTTCGGTTCCCAGAAATACTAAAATTTAGGTTTCGGTTTCTTTTCGGTTCTTAAAAAAAAAAAAATTTGTTACCTGATTTGGTTTTATACTTATGTAAAAAAATTTGTAAAGTAAAAGTATCGGTTCCGGTAAGGTTCCAGGTTTTTAATTAATTTAAATAAGGGTTCCGGTAAGGTTCCAGGTTTTTAATTAATTTAAATAAGGGTTCCGGTAAGGTTCCAGTTCCTGATTTTAACCGATTTCGATTAACTGTATTAAATTGTGTCTTAATACCTATAACTAAATACATATGTGAATAGGACTACCGAATTCTAACCTGCCAGGAAGTAGGAACTCACAATAATCATGAGAATTATTTCAAATATAAAATATCTGTTTCGAGTACTTGCCTTCTCAAACGCTTCACGACATTATTAGTTATCCGTATAGGATAATACATATTTTATTCAATATCATATTATTATGTTTTGACGTACCTTTATCAGAGACCTATTACCTAGACCGGAGATAATTGTTTTTTATAATGACACAAATAGGTCGTGATCACTGACAAATATCCAGTGGCTCTGCACTACGTAGCGCATCTAGATCAGGTGTGGGTGTTGAATTGGAGGAGCGTGTACGACGACGGAGTGAAGACGATTCAGGTGATTAGAGACGCGTCGCAAAAGCGAAAACACCACACAGTCCACCCAGAACCGATAGACGGACAATTCGATTTGGTCAGAGATTTGTTCATGCCCACGGCACAGGTACGCGAGAGAAATTTTTTGATAATAAGCAACCACAGGCGGAAGGTTTTATCTATGTCACGAAATTTCGCAGGACCTGAGCCACTGGTTCAAGTACGGTTACGTGAGCCACGCCAACCAAAGAGGACTTTACAAACTGGATTTGGCCAACATGCGGTACATTAGAAGTATAGACCTGTCGCCTTACAACTGCGTACCCCGTACCCTGCAATTTTCGTCCTTGTGTGAGTATATTATATGCAATGGGTTTATAATTTACCGATATCATTTTAACGTTGTCCAAACGCGTACATCGAAATTCGATCGGACTCGAAAATATTATATTACCCATTATCGTCTTACCGACGACTCACTTTATACCTACACACATTTATTATTGTACTCAGACGGTTTTGTCATCATCGAATGCGAAGAACCGGGAACCGGACACGCCACAGGTCAGGTAATCTTAGATTATTTGACCGACACGGTGGTCAACAAAAAGGCCACTGTCAGAGGAAGTCCTTTGGTTTCGCCGGACAGCAGAGTCGTCGTGTCCATCGACAAGGCCGCCGACGGCGTGACCTTGGTTGTCCAACAAGTTTTAGGTAAGTTTCATCAACCGTTTACCCGGTATGTGCACAATATTATTATGGTACTAATAAATTGTTTGTTTGAATTTAATTCGATCGATCGATATAGAATCTGGCCTCAAATTTTCATTCGACGTCAAAACCACTCTAATGATCAGCGACATAGCGTTCTACCCTTCTCGAACCACACACGGGTACGATTTGTACGCCAGCGCCGCTGACAAAGAAGACATACTGTTTCTGAATCTATCCAACGGTAAGCTTTTCGAAATATCAATCACTTCAAATGTCTGTCGCTAAACTAATTTAAATGTGCACTATTCGGTTTAAAGTGTATGTAGGAATATTATAATCTAATTTTAGTCATCTTGAAAACTAAAAAAAAGTGGCTTTTAAGTCATGTCACTCTGCTGTACAGTGGGATACCAGTGGGTCGATGTCTAATGGATTGTATTAAACTTGAATTCGACGATATTATATTATCATTGTATAAGAAAAACGGTTCTGAGTGGAGACGGTTTGTCAGTCTAGATATTTTATATTGTAATTATTGATTATAAGTTGAATTAATATTATTATTTTTTATTCGTTTCTATGGTGATAAACAAAGCGTTAGAAATTAAAATCCCTTTTTAGCGGTTTATAGTAAATTTTCTATGGTTTTTACCGTGGCATAAAATAACTATTGATAAAATCGAAAAATGACCTCTCTAGAGGATACCATCTTGATCCAATTTGCTAAAAGATACGATATACTATATGTTGAAATCGAAGTACTCCTGGCAGAAATGTTGTAAAGAGGATAAAAAATAAACCCTATTGTAAAATCACTAGCTTCCGTTCAGAATCTAAAACACATAAAATTTAAAAAACAAAACGGTTTTATATATTTGGTAGAATATTATCCTATATTGTTAAAGCTTTACTTATTCAGTATTCTCTTCGTAAAATCTAGGACGAGACAACTGTTCATACAACGGTAGAGTAACTCAACAGCCAATTATAATTCACGAAGGTTCAAGTAATGATTTTTTGTTGAATTTTTCATTATTATTTATTAATAGCATTCTCGATGCGTTATATTATTGGTTTAAGCCGTCGTAATGTCACGATGTGTAACATTAATTTCCCAATAATTTCATTCACAAAAATAGCATTCCTCTCGCTATTTCTCGTGTCAAACGTCGTGGGCGACTTCTAAAACTGCAACAACCGATCGATATACCACGAAACTCCAACACCATGCAAAAATATACCTATAAAGAGTATTGAAATAATATTTTAATTTATTATAGAGTTGATCAGTGCCAGCGGCGTGTTGCTCGGCACATAGTCGTAGTCATAGTAACACGCCATTTGTGGCAACCGAAATCATAAAATAATTATTGGGAATTTACTACGACTAATACTGATTTACTTATACGGATGCGTCCATTGTTTATGATCCGAACGGGTTTAATTCTGTATAATCCATGTGCACGTCGAACTGCGAACAAACGTCATTATACTGATTAACGAAGCTGCGGATTTTCATATATTATTATAGTATATTATGTAGGATTGTTATATAATATTGTTTAGGCCACGAAAGTCCGGCCCGGAGCTTATATTTAACGAGAAACACGAACGTTTAATTGTTTTAATCCACGACTTTCGTTTAAGCGAATCGAGGACCGCCCAATCGTTAATTGATTTCAAATCGAGTCAATTAAATGCGTACTTAAAAAGATATTATATTTTATCCACTATCGTGTCGATTATTAACATTTGGTCGTTACAAACGAGGCTTATATAATGGGAGAGTAGGTACATATTTTTATTACCACAACCAAAAAACAAATATAATATAATATATTCTAACCAAATTATATTGTGCTTATAACAATAGAGTGTGTTATAGTCGAGACCGTATATTATTGACCGAACGCCAGCTTATAATAAAATCTCGACCGTTTGGTCAGTAAGTCGAGCTCCACTCAGAATCGGTTTTAGTCCATGATTTATAGCTGCTTTCTTGTTTAATGACACCGACCCCAATGGTCACCCACACAACCCATGCAACCCATATCGGACCTCTCTTTTTTCTACTTACAAAACGCGATCTTTATAAAGACATTATGCGATGTCGACCGTTGTCCAAACGGGTGAATAAAAATATTACATCGGAACGTATAGTTTAATTATGTTTTGTATTATATCATGCTCAAACGGTATTTCTGTATAAAACGTCTTAAGCTATTCATTTTTATAATACACATGTCATCGCGTGTACCTATATATATTATATACCCTCAGATGGACTTAGGGGTAGTGAGCATAGGGCGCGGTCGTTTTCCAACATACGAATATTAACCCTTCCAATCAGCTTTCAGTCGGACAATTTATTTTCAAGTATAAGCGCACATTATCAGTGGGTAGAAAGCTTCTTATTAAAACGAAAAAAAAAAAAAAGACAAAAATGCATTCAATACTCAATACGTGCCTGTAGGTACATTATTAGAAAACATAATATAGTAAGTAGGGCTGGGATTTCGATGCACTCTTCATTTTTTTTCCCAGAGATTGATGTACGATGCTCGCCTGGTCACAAATCCGTGACATGTACACGTACATGTACTTTTGAATGAGAGTAAGAAAATGTATTTTGCATTTTTTAACAATTTTTGACTTTTATGTCATTTTCTCCATTTTTTTGGGCATTGTAAGGAGTTTTTGGGTAAAAAATTCAAACTAGAAATTTTAATTTAAGGTTTTACACGCTAACGCGAGTTTTATATAAATGTATACATATTTTTTGTATAACAAACAATAAAGTAGGTACCTGTAAGTACTCGTATCTCGTATCGTAGAAAAACTTGGATAACGAGTTTGCGATTGGCGGCGTCCGGCGTGGCAAAGTAAATTTAAAATTACTACCTATAATATATTAATCTGTTTAATAATCTGTCAGAGTAATAAAATCACAATTCAATCACTTTTTTTATCACTCATATTTTACAATTTATTAAAAATAAAACAATTTACCTGCATTTTTTTAGTGTATTATTTAAAACTTTTAGAGCATTAAAGCATTTTTTAGAGTTTTATAGGGCATTAAATTCCCAGCCCTAAATTAATAAGCTATCCATTATTAGGTACATTAATTATACAGTGTGTTTACGCTAAGAGGTACCACTAAATATTTCAGTTCGATGACCTTATTTCGCTGAATGACAGATAGAACTTAAATACACATTTTCAGTTAAATTTTGAATTTTTAACACTTTCGATACGCGCATGCTGCATGCGCGATACAACTTACTTTTTTTAAATGGTAACATAATTTTTTTTTACATTTTCGGAATGAGTATTTTTTTCTCAATAATTTATGTATAAAAAGTTTTTTCCTAATTACAAAATTGACATATGAAATGTATTGTTAAATACCTGAATGCACACAGATAAGATGGTAAAAATAACTTTGACAGCATTTTCCAATATTTAAGATAGTTTAATTCCTGTTTGTTATACATTTATTACTCGTAAATATTAAATTTCATCATTAAATTTCATATGCCAATTAATTAAAACTTTTAAACTTTATAAAAAAACGAGATAGCTAGAGAACTAAAACTCCATTAAATATCATTCACCCATCTATATAAATACCACCCCATCATACTTAGCGCGATCACCAAGCGAATCTAACACAATGTAATTTTTGAATTGAGAGATTTTTTTATTATTTAAATAACACGTAATAATTACTGAGTATTAAAAGAAATAATACAATTTACCTACACCTTTAAGCTAAGTTTGTGGTGCGGTGTAAGGAGTAACAGTACACACATGTGATTTAATATAAAAAAATTATACAACAAACACTGTATAATAAAAAGAGAGAGGGAGAGGAAAAAACAAAAAAATATATGTATGCTTTTTACTTATAATAGACACTGACTTAGCTCAATAAATAAAACATTATGAATACATTTTTTGATGTTAATTTCATCATTAAAAATATTTTTTTTCACATCGATTGACAAAGAGTTAAGAATGACAGGACCCAAATAGTTTATAATACACTTTTGACCAAAACTCGTATTAGTAAATAACACTTTAATATTACATAATCTATCTTCTCCGGTTGGCTTGTTATTCTGTCTGATAAAGAAAAAGCTAGATTTTTTTATATACAAACATTTGAAACATTATAGCCAGTGGCGTAAATTGGGTCCAATTTCTGGTGGTGCAGAGGCATATTCTTAATAACCTATAATTTCCAACACACCAATAATCCAACTTTCCAAGTAAAATCCTTTCCAATAAAAAACTATATATTTCTTTAAATAATAAATATATTTTGAATTATTTTAGCAGTAAAACCTTTATTTTTATAATATTAATAAAAAAAAAAAAAGTGGGCAAGTGGGTGCGCTCTGCTGTACAGTAGGTTATACAAGTGGGTCGCTGTAATGGATATAGTGTTAAATTTGAATTCAATGATATAATATACGTGTTTAAGAAAAACGATTCTGAGCGAAGACGGTCAGTCAGCCCATGATATTACCAAATATATTATTATTGTGAATAAAGTAGTATTTATGTGAGAATAACATGTTTTCGAGGAACCTTGTTTTAAATTTTAAAGTAATTTTTTCAATTCATAACGATCCGATTATAGCCTCTACTAATTTACAGTCTCATTTAAATTTACAATCCGAATGGTATGAAAAATGGCGTGTAAAAGTAAATCACAGCAAGTCGGTTCATACAACTTTTACCCTTAGACACGGCCAATGCCCAAATGTTTCAATTAATAACATACCAATCCCACCAATCAATGCTGTTAAATATTTAGGATTAATCCTTGACCAAAAATTAACTTGGAACAAACATATAAGAGCTAAAAGATTGATCCTTAACGCTCGATCTAGATCGCTAAAAACAATATTATCAAAAAATAAACTTACGAGCTTAAAAACAAAACTACTGGTATACAAAACTCTCCTTAAGAGGACGCTACACCCGCATGTGTTGTCTCCGTCTTACACACGTACGACATAGACAAAACGCGTTTAGGCAGTCTGAGTATAACTCGCTCAATTTTGGTTCTAGAGTAAAAATACCTATTATGAAATTGAATTGTGATAATATTTCTAAGGGCAAGACGCTGCGGTTTTTTTAAAAAATTTAATTTTTTAAAAGTCAAAGGTATTTTAAAAATGGTGTAATTTTTTCTATTTCTAAACGATATAATGAACGTTATATTGGGTATAATGGAAAAACCGCAGCGTCTTGCCCTTAGAAATATTATCACAATTCAATTTCATAATAGGCATTTTTACTCTAGAACCAAAATTGAGCAAGTTATACTCAGACTGCCTAAACGCGTTTTGTCTATGTCGTACGTGTGTAAGACGGAGACAACACATGCGGGTGTAGCGTCCTCTTAAGCCAATACGGACATACGGGTTACAACTCTAGGGATCGGCCAAAAAATCAAATTTAAACAAAATTCAAGTCTTTCAGAATATTACCCTTAGAAAAATCGCTAACGCTCCCTTCTACGTCTCTAATTTAACTCTTCACCAAGATCTAGGTATTCTACCTGTTGTAACTGAAGCGAAACTATTTTGCAAACGTTTTTTCGACAGACTTGAAAATCACCCTAACCCATTAATAAAAGAGCTACATACCTTCTCACTCCCCGGAAATCCATCACGTAGACTCAAAAGGAAATGGTGTCGTGACCATTTAAATTAAATATCCCTCAATTACCCTAAATATAACATCAAGTAAGTAAGTGCCACTAATCGGTAGCTTCTTATTCAAGTAATCCATGTTTATATATATTTTTTTTAACTCTTATCCTATACGCTTATTGTGCAAATTGTATAGATTGTGTATGTGCATTTGTAAAATAAAAAAAAAAATAAAAAAATGTATAGCGGTTTTTTTTTTGTAGAGCAATTTCGAACGGAAGCACATTAAAATAATATGTATGTTTATCTTGTCGCAGGCAAAGTGGAAATGATCACCGGCGTGGGCAAGGCCATGCTCCAGTCGTTGACGCAATGGGGTAACCCTAACCGCCCGATAGCCGCGTCTGGTATCTTCGGTCACTACATGGTCACGCCGGCCGACGAAGCGCTGTTCGTGATCAACGGCGAGACCCGGACGGTGAACTGCGAGATCGGAGGTCTGATCCATCCCAGACTGGTCACGTGGGTCACCATGCAGTTGCAGTGAACGGAAGAAGACAGAACTCAAAGTTGAAAAAAAAAAAAAAAATCGCGTTGTTATTGATTATTATTATTATTACTATTGTTGATGCCGTCATTATCTCTCATTCTTTCTTGTTTTCTCGCAATGATAACAATATCTATTCATCCCGTCGTGTTGCTTTCAGACGTTATTATTTTTCGTTTCGTTCGGTTTCGTTTGTCATGACTTACATATACTTCACACACATTATAGCGGATTAGGCGCATGCGTTAAGTTTAAAATAATATTGTGTTATAAATTAATAATATTCGATGATATAATAATATATATAGTAATGAACCGGCCAATTTTCACGTCCACATCGTCACAATAATAATAATATGCAATGCGCTTATTTTTTGCGCGGTTTTTCGTAATATTTATCTAGCCCCGACGAGTCGACAAAGTTTCGCAACTAGGTCGTTTTTTTTTTTTCTCTCAAACTATAATAAAAAAAACCGACGGGTTTCGTCGTTTCATTCATTTTTCTGACTCCGAGCCAAATAATATATTATTTTATATTATTATTACGTCGTCGTCGTCGTCTCCGTCTTCGAGATTGTCCACAGCCCAGACGAGATAATACGCACGTATTGATAATGTGACTATAATAAATCGAGAGAATATAATTTAGAGAGCGACGTGAAATTTCACTACCTACGCGCTAATAACGGATAAGGTTTTTTTTCCCCCGTTCTCGGCCTGTATATATAGGTACCGATACCATTACTATAATAATATATAATATTCCTTTTTTGACTCGCAATATATCCCTCGAAACGGCGCAGTTCGTGAGGCGATATCGCCAGATGACGTTTTTAAAAAAATCAAAATAATATATAATATACCCACCTGCAGCGTAGAAATCATCGAAAAGTGACGTTGCAGATCGACGGCCAACGCTTTAATTTACATAATATTATAAATATATAGATGATAATAATAATATTATATTTTCGTTTAGTGCGTATTATACCTACGTATAATATGATATTAGTAAGTACGTCATAATACCTAACATTATACATTTCAAACAAGGACGTTTTTTTTTTTTTTTAAATTTACATAGACAATTGTCCGATTAAAATTTATTGAATAACGACATAAAATATTAAACTTAATATTATAATTATACAGACGTTGTGACGACGGCGCAATACTCTCATATAATATTAGCTATTTGTAAAATATATTATATAATCATCTCGGGCGGGTGCGGCAGCATAATTCGAAATGTTGAAAATATACGTTTATAGCACGGATTAAATGAAAAAAAAAATTTTAAATTTTCATTCAATCTAATGATGTTTATGGTGTGGACGTCCGTCTGTGTGCACAAGATTTTCCGTCCGATTTTTGTAGTTTCTTTTCGATCCGCTGCGATCCGCCTCGAGAAATATGAAATATCGTCAAGTCGAAAACCGACGTCTGACAAAAACAAAAAAAAAATTGAATAAATAAATATTGTAATAATTTTAGTGTTTTACGTGTGTTGTATAATAATAATAATATATTATGTAATGGTACGGCGCCATCGTTTATATATATATAGGAGAAGCGTACTATATATATAATTAATATATTATATAATACTACCTACTTAGACGTAATATTATAATATAGTATTAATAATATATTATAAATAATAATAATGTACAAGGTGATTCGTTAGAACACTTATTTCACTCGAACAGTATCATCATTTTTGGAAATATTGTAAAACTGTAAGTCATTTAATAACCGTAATTCGTTAAAGAACATTAAATTATTACTTCTGTTGAAAGGCACCAATACATTTTTATATCCAATTAAAATGTTCATATTCCGAAGCGACTTTCGTAGAATATTTAAACAAATATCGATTTTTTGAACCAGTAATTAATATCAATTATAACTCATAACTTATAAGTATTTAGTTCCGATGAACAGAGTGGAGTGGCACAGGGGTCCTCCACAAAGTTGGTCCACTGTACGCTAACCGCTCATTTTTTTTTTTTTTAAATATATGTTTATTGGTATGATTCATAATAAGCAAATTTCATGACGTAATACGAATAATTACAATTATGGGTTCGTGGGAATTTAGCAGCACATCTGATAATATTGTTGATATTGATTAAATTGTTAGTGCACGTCCAGAGGACGTCCTTAAATACTTATCAAGTCATAAGTTATAACCGATTGACTTCTCGTTCGAAATTAGATTTTAAAATATATTGAAATCCAAAAACTTTTAATTTTGAAACATTAATTACCGATAATGATAAAACAATAAGTTATTTTCCAAAAATAAAAAACATTTCCAAAAAAATAGTTTGTGAAATTTGGTGTTAAAAAGAAACACCTTGTATACACAAACATCCAGTGCCCGACAAACGGGTTTTTTACATGTATAATAATAATAATATAATATATATGTGATTTGCGTAGTTAGCCGAACAACCCCGTTCGCACATCGGAAAAATTATTTTGTAAATAATATACAATGATCATAATATCTGCATGACGAATATAAAACAATTATTTATAGTTATATAGACGAGTGTTATAAAGTTATTAATTATTATTATTATTATTATTGTACACACTAAGAAATAGTGGAAATCAACGAGTACACAATGTCATTAATAATATTAGTTGTGTTTGTTTGTGGATTTTTTTTTTATACATATATAACATATTATTATAGTGTGGGCTTATTTTTTATCAATATATTATGTATATATATTATAATATATATATATATACTATAAATATGTATATGATAATATAATATAGTGTAATGATATTTATTACTGAATAAAACACAAAAAAATCACTCAAGTATAATGGTAATTTAATTCTGTGTACCGACTAGGGCAGAGGACTCGTAGCTTTTGCAAATTTTTTTTTTTAGTCACAAAATTAGCAGAGTGCGAAACAAATACGTTTCGTGCTTCCTCAAAGATAGCTTAAAAAATTTATTGTGCATATAAATGCATGTCTTGCGATTTTTTGGTTTTTAGGGCATATATCTTCCATTTTGTACTTTTAGATGCATATTTTAAATAATTTATCAATATTTTTTAGTCGACGTTTTTATTTATTTCAACCGAATGAACGTTGAATTTAAAATTATTTTAAATTTTGATCAGCACCTGATCTTACTTCCCTTCCTCCAGAACATATAATTACAAGATGATAAGGATCGTGGGTTGTAAGTTGTAACCGCATGTTATTATTTGCGAACACCAATAAATATAAACCATACAAATAATTGAAGACATTTTTTTTTTTTAAATTGAATCCAGAACCCGTCACAGTGGGAAAAATGATTCAAGAAAAGATGAATGTTTTAGAGAAAAATAAAGGTTACCAAATATTACCTACTAGCTTATTACTAATGATATTATACGCCATCCGTTCAGCGATCATACACAGCCAAATAAAGGTATATAATATTATTATTAATATTCTTATACTGTACGTTTTTATATATTTTAATGACTTCAATAATCGATCGTCTTTACGTCTGTACATTATACTAATGGCCGAGTGTCCAAATAGTGAAAATCAACGAGTACACAATGTCATTAATAATATTAGTTGTGTTTGTTTGTAGATTTTTTTTTTTTATACATATATAACATATTATTATAGTGTGGGCTTATTTTTTATCAATATATTATGTATATATATACTATAAATATGTATATGATAATATATAGTGTAATGATATTTATTACTGAATAAAACACAAAAAAATCACTCAAGTATAATGGTAATTTAATTCTGTGTACCGACTAGGGCAGAGGACTCGTAGCTTTTGCAAATTTTTTTTTTAGTCACAAAATTAGCAGAGTGCGAAACAAATACGTTTCATGCTTCCTCAAAGATAGTTTAAAAAATTTATTGTGCAAATAAATGCATGTCTTGGGATTTTTTTGGTTTTTAGGGCATATTTCTTCCATTTTGTACTTTTAGATGCATATTTTAAATAATTTATCAATATTTTTTAGTCGACGTTTTTATTTATTTATTTATTTTTACAACCAAATGAACGTTGAATTTAAAATTATTTTAAATTTTGATCAGCACCTGATCTTATATCCCTTCCTCCGGAACCTATAATTACAAGGTGGGGATCGTGGGTTGTAGCCGCATGTTATTATTATTGCGAACACCAATAAATATAAACCATACAAATAATTGAAGACATTTTTTTTTTTTAATTGAATCAAGAACCCGTTACAGTGGGAAAAGATGAATGTTTTAGAGAAAAATAAAGGTTACCAAATATTACCTACTACCTTATTACTAATGACATTATACGCCGTTCAGCGATCATACACAGCCGAATAAAGTTATATAATATTATTAATATTCTTATACTGTACGTTTTTATATATTTTAATGACTTCAATAATCGATCGTCTTTACGTCTGTACATTATACTGATAGCCGAGTGTCCAAATAGTGAAAATCAACGAGTACACAATGTCATTAATAATATTAGTTGTGTTTGTTTGTAGATTTTTTTTTTTTATACATATATAACATATTATTATAGTGTGGGCTTATTTTTTATCAATATATTATAATATATATATATACTATAAATATGTATATGATAATATATAGTGTAATGATATTTATTACTGAATAAAACACAAAAAAATCACTCAAGTATAATGGTAATTTAATTCTGTGTACCGACTAGGGCAGAGGACTCGTAGCTTTTGCAAATTTTTTTTTTTAGTCACAAAATTAGCAGAGTGCGAAACAAATACGTTTCGTGCTTCCTCAAAGATAGCTTAAAGAATTTATTGTGCAAATAAATGCATGTCTTGGGATTTTTTGGTTTTTAGGGCATATTTCTTCCATTTTGTACTTTTAGATGCATATTTTAAATAATTTATCAATATTTTTTAGTCGACGTTTTTATTTATTTATTTATTTTTACAACCAAATGAACGTTGAATTTAAAATTATTTTAAATTTTGATC